ATTTAGGTCTCTGATCCATTTGGAGTTAACCTTTGTGCATGGGGATAGGTAGGGGTCCTGTTTCAATCTTCTGCATGTGGTCAGCCAGTTTTCCCAGCACCATTTACTGAATAGGTTCTCCTCTCCCCATTGGTAGGTGGTGGGGGCTTTGTCGAAGATGAGTTGGTTGAGAAATTGAGGTTTTGCTTCTGGAATCTCAATTCTGTTCCTGATAAGAGATTTTTAATTAAAAACTGTATTTTCTGCAAGAGGTCAGCAGTCCTACTATCACATTCGTTTTCCTTAATGACGTTTGAAGCAACACCTCTCATTCTCAAGGTGCTGTCTCCCTTAAATTGCAATGTCCCTTCACACCCTTGGGTCATGCAGTCACACTCTCAACCCTGAGAGCAGGAGAGAAACCCACTGCCCATAGCCTACAGGGGCAGGAGCCAGGGCTCACAGGCAGAAGGCAGTCTGCTCAAGCCCTTGCTAAAAAAAAGTTTACAATATTCAAAAGAAACCCCAAATCTGCCACAATTCAAATAATAGGAAATATTTCTAAAGACATAGTACATTTTACGTCACAAAACGTCATCATACTTGAAAATTATGGGAAAGTAATTCAGGATTACAGAGGGGAGGCTGGAGGAGAATGGGAGAGTCATGTCTCAGATCCTGGCTTGGTCTCCGTGTGGGTGGCAGAGTTCAAGTCTTTAGGCTGTCAGTTGGTTCATGTGGTGCTGCACCCACTTCTCCTTAGTGTCAGCATGGATCTCCTTGGCCACCTCGTTTCTGAAGCTGTGGATAAAGGAGGCCTGGCCCATTAGATGGAACCCTTGGAGGGTTTTACCCAGGGGATGACTCACTGGGCTCTAAACTTGCCTGGTCCACTTGCTGCAGGTGAAGGGCCATTTGGGGACAGGAGGAAGGAGGTATGTGGACAGACAAGGTCTCTGGAGGCAGCTGCTGCTCTTGTTGTTCCTGGGGAAGGGATCCTGGCATTTGCTAATGCCATCGGGAGGGTAAGGTCTGGTGTTGATCCAGAGAGCAGAGCATGGGAAGTTTCCAGCCCTTGTTTATACTGTCTGGAGAATTTGCATTACAGAGTCTGGTCAGATCTTACCCTCTGAGTGTAAGATCCCAAGTCAGTCTCTGTCTTCCGGGGCAGAACTTTGGATTGGGGGATGTGGGGGTGGGGAGGGTTGATGTGAGCCAGGTTTTTCTACCCACCTGACAGCCTTCTGGGCACACTGGCTGCTGGTGATTTGATAACTCTTCAGCCGCTGCAAGGGGATCTTCTTACTATTAAATATGAAGCAGCAGGTGGTGGGGAGATTGAGTGCATCTGGAAATAAAGGCACAAAGAAAAAAAGCCTTTGAGAATGTGCTAGGCTCTTCTCAGCCTGAATGCAGCAGGAAGTGTGTGTAAGGGAAGGCAACACAAAGCAAAGAGGCAGCAGTGGATCTTACCCATCATGAAATCCAGTGCTCCTCCCCTCGGCCCCGAGGTGAAGTGGAACCTGTGACATGTGGTTCAAGATTTCAAAGTCTCAACTTCATAGTGGGGAGACGTCACCTTCAACTGGGGGAGACCGGGGGACAGGTCCTGGATATTGTCCCGGATCTGCGGCGTGTGGGACGATCAGCTGAGTCAGAGCATGGGCCTTGGATTGGGAGTCTTGCTCTGTGATGACTCGGAGGTGGGTAGGTGGGGTCACCCTGTTCCCAAACTGGACTTCAACTTTCCTTCTTAAAAGTAGGTGTTAAAGAGAAACTCTGAGGAGCCTTGCTGCTCAGAAGTGGGTGGACTCTGGCTTGGGGTTTCCTAGAAGAAGAGATAAATGGAAGGAAAGGGAGGGAGAGAAGGAGGGAGAGAGGCTGACTTACCTGGCTGAGCAAACCCCTGCGGGCTGAAGTCGGCTGCTGTGAACAGGAGGCACAGAAGTGGACAGAGACCTTCATGTCAGAGGGCGAGGGATGAGCTTCAGCTTCTGAATTGGTCTTGGTCTCTCTGTTCTTCTGGTTGTTCTGCCTGCTTCTTACAGGAAGCGGAGAGGTTGGAGCTCTCAGAAGACCTTTACCTAGGTAAGGGCATGGTCAAGTTGGGTTGAAGGGGGCTCTTGAATCTATTGAACTGGAGCTGGGCGCCAAAGAATTTTCCAGGAATTGCAAGAGGGCAGTTCTGGGCTGCAGCAGCAACGACACTGTTTCCTTCTGGCTGCACAGGCCATCGGGAGCCAGAGAGAAGGGAAGGGCACAGATGTGACACAGGCACTTACCATAGGACACCATCTGAGGAGCTGTTCCACACTTAATTCCTCCAACATGAGAAAGAAAACAATAAAAAACAATTCTTGCAGAGAAAGAGCACTGCGCTGAGGGCTTTGTATGTGTTATGTATTTAGTCTGAAGAGGTACATATTATTATTATCATCACATCCACTTCATAGATGAGTAAACTGAGATGCAGAGAGCTTAAATAACTTGCCCAAAGTCTCATGGGAAGTGAGTGGGGAAGCTGGAAGAGGAAGCTAGCCTGTTTACGTTTAATCTCCAGGGTAGTTTCAAACTTTCATTTAGCTGCAGAAGTCCTTTTCCAAGGCAAATTTTATGTGGAAATCTAATACTTGAGCCAGATTATGTCAGATTCTGATGATAGGGGTTCCCTACATCACATACTGTCCCTCTCCTATCTTCTTGGAGTCAGAACTTAGGCTTCATTCTTGCTCTGGGATGGCCTGGAGGTGGGTGGGTAGGGTCCCAGAGGTGCATGGCATGAAAATCTCTGATTTAGCCCCTTGTTTCAAGGAAGGACTATTGGGTTTCTAGAGCTGTTGATGGGAGGGGATGGTGTGGACCTCAGAGCAAAGAAGTGGACTGTTCACTCCTGTTCCTGGCCCCCTCCTTTGAAGGGCACACACCTGTAAGATAGGAGCTGGGGAAGGAAGTGCTGCAGTAGGGCCTGGAGATGGTGGGGGTGGGAAGGGTGTGTGTGGGGGGGACAAAGGTGAGAGGGGGGAGGGGTGGAGGCAGGAGGGCACTTGGATTCACTAAACATGCTCCTTCCTTGCTCACTCCTGGCTCTAAGACTTTGTTTACTTTTTGTGCCTTTCTGGAATACTCTTCCCCCTGCTATCCACTGTATCAAAACAAGCCTAGTGGAAGTAAAGGGAAGGAAATAAAGAGCGAAGATTAGAGGACTAGAAAACAACATATATTAGAAAAGATTGATGAAGCCCAAGTTGGTTCTTTGGCAAGCTTATAATGAAGTTAAAATTCTCTTGGACTGACTGAAAAAAAGAAAAAAGGCACAAATAACCCCTAGCAGGGAAAAAAAAAAAAAAATCACCACAGAGACTGCAGGCACCAAAAAGAAAATAGAAGAGTCGTATGCCAAAAAATTTAATTTAGAGGAAATAGATAAATTTCCCAAAAATATAACTTGCCAGATTGCAAGAAGAAATGAAAAATAAAAAGTAATCTGAAAACTATTAAAGAAATTGAATCAGTAATTGAAAATATTCTCACAAAACCTCCTCTGGGCTCAGAGGGCTTTAACAGCTAATTTCTCTAAGCATTCAAGGAACTGATAATTCCAGTCTTGTGCAATCTCTTCCAGAGAATATGAAAAGAGTGTGCACTATTCAGTTCGTTTTGAGTCTTACATAACATTGACACAAAAACTTGTCGAGGCCTGCAGTAGAAAAGGAGATTACAAGCTTGTCCCTTCAGACACATATCCTATTTTTTTCCATCCTATTCTCTGCCCTGGGAAGCCAACCTGGGTGGGTTACATCTGTGGAATTGCTGACTTTCTACCTCTGGGTTGAATTTGGACACTAGGGAGCCCCTCAGGATATTGGGTGGGAATAGTTAAGTTGAGGTATTTCTTCCTCTGAGGTCTCCCTGTGTACCTCAGCCTGGAGGCATCCCTTAACCAATGGTTTTAAGTTCTTTCAAGATGATCTCCATAAATTTTATGCTGCCATAAAGAAGAACAAACATATGGACTTTGCAGCAACTTGGATAGATTTAGAGTCGATCATACTCAGTGATCTATCACCAAAAAAAGAACAGAGTACTGTATGTTCTCACTCATAAGCGGACCTTGAACCATTATCATAATACTATAAGAAAGAGATTGGCAGTAGTGGGAAACTGCGGGGGTGGGTGGGTAAGATTGGCAGTTGAGGGAAACTGCTAGGGGAAGGAGGGACACACCTCATCAATAAGGATACCTGCATAATCAACGTTTGCATACTTAACCCTGAATTGTACCCTACATCTTTAAAATTAAAAAAAATTAAAAAAGAGAATCTCCATGAATTTATTCAGGCTTGGGGAGGTTTATGGAAGATATCCCCTACCTTTCCTCTTCAGATCTGGGCGGGGGTGGTGATAACCATGTTCTTACCAGTCTCCAGAGTATGCTGGTAGTTACTCTATACCCACGCACATATTTGTAAATAGCTTCTTGAATAAATCCTTCTCAAATTCTTCCAGTTTAAGTGTCATCTATTTCTTGCTGGGACCCTGACTGACATCGACTTGTGTATCCAGAAGTGGCCTCAGGAAATAGACCTTTCAAATGGGATTCTGGGATTGGATTGCTCACATATTTTAGGAGCACTGTGCAAAGGGGCATAGTAATAGCGTCTGGTGGCATCATGATTGCACAAATTACCACACTAGTGGCACAGCAGACTGTGCTTTAACAAGCCCTCCAGGTGACCCTGATATACACAAAGTTTAAGAGGCATGGGATTAGAGCATGCCTCATTGTCCCTGCTGATCCATAGAGAATAGCCACCACTGAGCTTTGAAGGATGCTGCCCTGCTCCCACAACCTCATCAAAGCATTTTTTAACACCTTGATAAAGGGAGGGTTTCCCTGGGCTCCACTGGGAGTGCAGTCAGGGGGTGGCTAAGCAACTTGTGCAGAATAGATTCATTCCAATAGATCCACTTCCCTGAGCCTTTGCGACGCTTTCGTAATATTCCAGGGAAGTTTGGACATTCCAACTTCGTTAACTGTGGGTTTCTTTTTAAGTCAGACTTCAGTTAGCCAATCTAGCTGACCATTGACATCACTCCCAGGTACTTGTGCAAGTACATTAAATTCTGAATTTGGCTAATTGAGCCCCATGCTATTCTCAGTCTAACACCCTTAAAATTCACTCCCCCACACACACCCCTATGCTTTCCTGGAAATTGAGTGGGTGAGGGGACATTTAAATCCAACTGTAAAAACTCCTGTTTGTTCTTGCCTGTGATTCGGGCTTAATAGTACAGAAGAGAGACTGTGTGTTTAGGAACCTGGGATTTGGAGTCAGTCAGGCATGGTTCAAGTCCTATATCCAACATTTACCGGTTACATGATTTAGAGCAATTTGCTTTTCTCTCTGAGCTTCCAGAGGAAACTGACTGATAATCTAGTGAGCTTCATTATGAAGATGGGAAAGTCAGTAGGATTATGCATGGAAAGTGTTTAGCACAGTGCCAATAATTTGCATTCCTAACAAGTTCTCAGGTGATACTGATGCTGCTGGTCTGAGCGCTGCTCTCAGAGAACTACTGCTGCAATGGACCTGGGTTTGCTGATGTCAGCAGGAAGAACAGAATCCAGGTGCAGCAGAAGCAGGGTGGTGGCGCTCATTAAACAGCAGAGACAGGGTGGGCACAATTACCCCAAGAAGCAACAGGGCCAGAGCTTTGATTGGCAGGGATTTGTAGCAATGATTATGGGATTCCTAGAAATGAAATAAATGAAATGCTTACAAAGGCGCTGCTTGACTTTCAATTCTAGGGAGCAGGAAGCTAGTTCAAGTCCCTGTAAAAGAAACTCCTGTGTCTTACCCAGTTATCAGATTTAAGTCACTTCACAGACCTGAAGACCCTTGCTGGGAAGGGTAGGGCCAGGTCTCTTCAAGAAAAAGCCTTGCAACGCTGACTTGCCAGATGAAATATAGGATACTTAGATCTGAATTTCAAATAAACAGGGAATGATTTTTTAGAATAGAATAGCCTCTTGCTAAATCTGGCAACCCATAGGTCATATACTGTAAGTCTTCCTCCACAACTTTTCCAGAGGAACCTGCTGCCATAAAGCAGGGTGACTGCACTGGGGAAGGAAATAGTGAGACGTTCTGAAATTATCTGATGATGGTTCTGAATGGATGGTACTCTGTGGAGACCCAAAAATCCACCCTAGTTGACAGTCAGAGTGAGAGCTTATGAAGGTCTTATTTCAGTTATGCAGTTATGTCCAGAGCAGACGTTCAGCTAGTTGTTTTCCAATCCAATAATCTTTATATAACAGAAGTCTTCTAGCTCTATAGAATCCTGTGATTTTATAATCATTATGTTGCTGTAGAATCTTGGTACCCAAGAATCCTGCCATCTGTCTACAATAGCACTGGGTAATCTTAGTGCCTACCATCTGAAATATAGTAGAGCTGGCTAATGTGTGCAATGTTGTGGTTTTCAGGGACTTGTTTACCTGCTGAAGTCAATTCTCACTTATGGAAAAGTCCTGATCAGTAACAGATTAAAACTGCTCAGGGAAGCACAGCTGGGGCACCCTGTACCCAGACTTGCCCCTGTCTTCTCATCTCATTCTTTAAGGTTCTGGGGAGTATTGATGGTGCAACCTTTCCATTCTGTAGGACACGTCTGACTGCTGGAGTAGCTACTGAAAAGGGAGAAAGCCAGCACAAATCGCATGAATCGGTATTCTCAGCCCCCAAGACTGGGTTTTTCCAGGGATAGTCAAGTCTGCTGAGGAAGAGAATACTGCCATTGGGATGCGGAGAGGCAGGTCCGTGCTTTGCTCATGAAAACGTTGCAAGACCACTTCCTTACTTCTTCCTTCATAGCACCTTCACTCCTCTCTCCATCCTTTCTTATAATTTCCCACCCACCTATAATATTTTTTCCCATGTCACCCAAACAGGAATTGTTTGGTACTGGGTTTAAATCAATGCCTCATTTATGAAGACTTCCCAGGCTGCATAGATTTCCAAGGGGCCGAAACTTACTCTGAAATAAATGGTTGATGACCTTCCAGGGCAAGCCTTACTACTTCTACTTGGTAAACCCAGTCTTCCTTCTGGGCATTCTTGAGACCAGCAAAAAATGAGTCCTTACCCATGATCTGAGGGCCTTGGAAGCCACAAGTCTCATTCTCGGTAAGAGGACTGTCACAAACTTTATACTGAAAACCAGACAGGAAAACAAAAACAAAAACAAAAACAAAAACAGGGTTATTTTAGGCAAATTGAAGCGTGTCCTATCCATGTCTCCAGTGGGGACTTGGCATTTTACCAGTCCTTGAGTTGCCAATTTCAGTGTTTACAGTTTCTAGTTTCTGCTTCCCTTTCCTTCTGGGGAACTCCCAGGGTGACTGCCTGGGCTGCCCCTTCCCAGGACCAAATGGAAACTGCCAACAGGAACAGTCTTGTATTCAGCATACTCTGGTACTGAGAATGAGCAAGGAAAGGGAAGCTTTTCTATTAGGGCAGCATTTTGTAGAAACTTTTAAAAAAATAATATATGATGACCTAGAATACTTAGGAAGTGTATACTGGAAAGTATAAAAATACTATAAAATAATTTGCACATACAGCATTGGGACGGAACTACAGGAAAAACTGTGTTTGTTCCTGTATTCTTTCCATGTGACAGTATTAGGGATTTTACTAGATACAGATTAGTTTCAGTTCGTGAATTAATGCTATGTCAAAAGTCATTTGATATCTTTCGATAGCTTAAATATTTTTTCAAAAAATTTATTTTAAAGATGTGGAGTACAATTCATGGTTAGGTGTACAACTGGTAAAGTGTGGGCCTCACTTTGGTCACCTGGTTTGAGATCAGGTACTCTCATTGATAATGAAGTGTGTCCCCTGTTCCCCTGGCTGTTTTCCATTACTGATTATCCCTTTCTTACAGTATGATAATTGTCCAGGGTTTGCTTATAAGTGAGAAATGTTCTTTGTCTCTGTGATAGATCGCTGAGTATTATAGACTCTAAGTCCATCTGTTGTGAATAATGCACAATAAACATGCATGTGCAGGTATCTTTTTCATAGAGTGGCTTGAGTTCCTCTGGATATATTCTCAGAAGGGGGATCATGGGGTCATATGGAAGGTCAATTTTTAGATCTTTTAGGATTCGGCACACTAGATCAAACATCTAAACATAAAACTTCAAACTGTAAGAACCTTAAAAAATACAGGAGATGCCCTTATGGAAATTGGAACTGGCAACCAATTCCGGATCAAAACCCCAAATGCCCATGCCATAAGAGATAAGATCGACAAGTGGGACCTCATCAAACTGAAAAGCTTCTGCAAAGCAAAAGAAACCACCAAGAGAGTAGGGAGACAGCCCACAGACTGGGAAAAAATATTTGCCAACTGTATATCTGACAAAGTCTAACATCCAGGATCTCCAAGGAACTCAAACGTGCTGAAGAGAAAACAACAAACAGCCCTATTAAAAAGTGGGCAAAAGATATGAATAGACATTTCTCAAAAGAAGACATGTGAGCAGTCAACCAATACTTGAAAAAATGGTCAGTCTCACTAATCATCAAAGAAATGCAAAGTTAAAGCACACTGAGATACCACCTAACTCCAGTCAGGATGGCCGTCATCAACAACTCAAAAAACAACAGATGCCGGAGAGGATGCAAGGAAAAGGGAACACTTTTACACTGTTGGTGGGAATGTAAACTAATACGACTTCTGTGGAAAACAGCGTGGCGATTCAATAGCTTAATATCTCAGTGAAAGAATAGTCATCTGCTAAACAGAAGCACTGTAACTTATCTAGGCCGTATCATGCTATTTGGCATTCTAAATGATGCCATGATGCACATAAGCAATCTTTATCAATATTGTTGTTTACTTTATGGACATGGAAGTGGACTGGCTGAATCAATAGTATGAGTAGATTCAGACCATTAAAAACTTATTTTCAGATTTGTCATTGACATATTTGTGTATTACACATGCAATAATATTCACAAATCTTACCAATGTAGTCTGGCTTTTAATCTACGTATGCAACATATAACCAGCACTCACATCAAAGTTGATCTTTTAACTCATCAAGGCTGAACTTCTACCTCCACCTTCTAGAAGTAATCACTCTTTTGACTTCTGCTACCATTGATTATCTGTTCTTGAAATTCACATAAATGTAATCATATGCTATGCACTTTTCTGTGTCTGAACTCCCGTGTTCAATGTAGTGTTTCTAAAAAACATATCAGTTGTTTGTTCTGTTTGCTACCAAGTAGTATTTCACTTTATGAACATACTCCAGTTTGTTTATTCATTTTTCTAGACCCCTGGGATGCTTCCAGTTTTGAGCTGTTATGGATCGAGTTGCTAGGAAGATTCCTATTCAAATATTTTTGCAGACTTATGAACTCATTTATCTTAAATATTTACTTAGAAATGGGATTTTTAGGTCATTAAATAAACATATGTTTTATTTTATTTTATTACAAACTGCCAAATAGTTTTGCAAACTTCACCAGCAACACATATGATTTCCATTTGTGATACATTTCTAATACTTGGCACTATCATGCTTTTCTATTTTAGCTATTTTGGTGGGTTTGTAGTAATATTTTATTTTGTATTCAATTGCATTTTCCTGATTACTTGTGATGTTGAGTTCTTTTTTATGTTTATTGGCTATTTGAATATTTTATTTTGTGAAATGGCTGTTCTATTTTTCCATTTTTAATTGGGTTGTTTTCTTTTTCTTATTAATTTGTAAGAATTATTTACATAGACTGGATTGAACTAGCTTACATGTAATACAATATATCTTCTCCTAGTTTTTAGCTTGTCTTTTTACTTTCTTACATGTCTTCTGATTAATAGTTATTTTCAATTTTGATTAAGTTTAGATTTATACATTTACAAATTTTATGGCTACGTGTTCTATGTTTTGTTTAAGAAATCATTTTCTATCCCAAGTTGAAAAATATTCTCCTGCGCTTTCTTCTAGGTGTTTTCTGCATTTAGATTTTATATCTAAGTTTATGATCCATCTTACATTAATTTCTGTCTTCAGTGTGAGGTAAGGGAGAAGTTTATTTTTTCCATACAGACATATCTGTTTGCTCCAGCATACTTTATTTGAGAGACTTCTGATTTCTTCATTGTATTGGTAACCTTCTTAAGAATCAAATGTGTGTGTATGTGTGTGATCAAAACCCCAAATGCCCATGCCATAAGAGAGAGAGTTTTTGGATGAGATTAATATTTAAATTGGTAGATTAGGTAAAGTAGATTGCTTTCCCTAATGTGAATGAGCCTCATTTGATCAGTTGAAGGGTTGAATTGTACAAAAGGTTGAGTTCTGAGTAGAAGAGAATTCTTTCCCCTGATGCCAACTGGGACATCAGTTTTTTTCATGCCTGTAGACTGAAACTGAAACATTGACTCTTCCTGGGTCTCCAGTCTGCTGGACTTTGGGCTGGAACTACATCGTCAGCTCACATGGTTCTCAGGCCTTTGTATTTGGAATGGAACTATACAGCGAGCTCTCTTGAGTCTCCAGCTTGCTTACTCACCTTGCAGATCTTTTTATTTTATTTTATTTTATTTTTGAGTTGGAGTCTCACTCTGTCGCCCAGACTGGAGTGCAGTGGCCGCTCCTGGCCACCGCAGCCTCGACCTGCTGGGCTCCGGCGATCCTTCCGCCTCAGCCTTCTGAGTAGCTGGAATTACAGGCATGCACTACCACCCCTGGCTGATTTTTTGATTTATTGTAGAGATGAGGTCTCGCTGCCCAGGCGGGTCTCGAACCCGCGGGCTCAGGTAATCCACTCACCTCAGCCTCCCAAAGGAGCGGGATTACAGGCTGAGCCACCCAGCCCGACCTTGCAGATGTTAAGACATGTCAGCTTCCATAACTGTGTGAGCCAATCTTTAATTATGCATCTCTTTTTTTCCTCTCTCTCTCTCTCTACACACACACACACACACACACTCTCTCTCTCTCTCTCTCTCTCTATATATATATATATATATATTTCATGACGAATCCTGACTAATACAGATCTATCTCTATCTATATATAGATAGAATATATATATTTATATATAATTAGATATACACCCACATATTTCTAAACGCTCTACTTGTTCTATTGATCTGTTTGTCTATCCTTATGCTAATACTGCCAATACTACACTATCCTAATTATTGTTACCTTATATTAAGTCTTGAGATCTGGTAGTGCACATCCTTCAACTTTGTTTTTTTGTTTCTGTCAAGATTGTTTTGACTAGTCTGGATCCTTTGCATGTTCATATAAATTTCTATATAAGAAACCATGGTAACTGAATTGGGATTGCATTGACTCTTAATACTAAGTTGATATCTTAATATTATTGAAACTTGTACTCCATAAAGCTTGACTAAGAAAAGTTTTCCATTTATTTAGGTTCTTATTTATTTTCCTTTAGGTATGTGCAGTAGTTCTCAGTATAGAGAACTCACACATCTGTTGTCAAATTTATTCTTACATATTTTATATTTTTGGTGACAAAATAAATGGAATTTTAAAACTTAAATTTCCTAATTTCTTAATAGTATATAGGAATTCAACCTATTTTTTGTATTAACTTAATTTCAGTGATCTTGAGAAATTCACTTATTAGTTCTTGTAGTTTTTTTAGATTTCCTTGTATTTTATACATATATAATATGTCAACTGTGTGTGACATTTTAAATTCTTTCTTTCTAATATTCGTGTCTCTATTTCTTTTTTCTTGCCTTATCACACTACTTAGGACCTTGAGAACAACATTGAAAAGAAATGAGAAATTCTTGTCTAGCTCCTGACCTTTGATGTTATTGTTCTTTACTTCTGGAAGATCTGTGCTTTCAGGATCATTTCCCTTAAGCCTTTAGATTTTCTCATAGTGAAATGTTGTTATTCTGGCAACAAATTCACTAACCTTTCTTTTTTTTCTTTCTGAAAACGTCATAAGAGTAGAAAAATAGTGTAACAACATATACCTAGTTGACATTCTGCACCTAACAACTTCAGAATAGCCATTTAAAATAAATGCACATGGAACATTTATCAAATTGATTATATGCTAGACTATAAAGCTAGACTCAACAAATATAATAGATTTGAAAATATTTAGTATGTGTTCCCAATCCATTATGGAGTTAAAT